AACGATAGAAAATGATCAAATCATTTCAATAGAACATGGAAATATTATTCACATTTTAACATATGAAATTCTATTGTATAGAATCAATAACACGGATATGATAAAGATTTCTCGTGTTATGACAGATTACACAATAAAATTTATATTTATATGTGTATGTGTATAACTCCGTTTCATACGTATATAACAATCATATATATATAGAAAATCCATATCTATAATCATGTTATATGTGTAAATATGTCTTGCAAGCTAGATATAAGAAACTATATCGAACTTGCCAGCAATTCATTTATTATCATAGAATAACAATAAATAAATTTGATGTTATGTAAACAAGACTGAAACAAATTTAGCCTCGGCTGAAGCCTTGGCTGCTAGATGCGTTCGAGTTATTCATGCTCAATGTGTTCTGCAATTCGCATTGCTTTCTCGCACTTTGCTGCGCTCTTCATCGAATAACGAGCCGAGTGATCCACCGTACAGAATTGTTAATTTTATTTTCTGTATTTTAGATTCGATTCATATTCAATGACAAACAACAATGATTTGTTGAATGGAAAAGGTTTAGAAATAAGATAATAACAAATGAATTATTTCATCACGAAGATTCCATAAATTCATATGATACATGTTTTATCTTATTTCAATACATAATGGTGCGACACAATTATTTCGAAAAATAATTGTGCGAAGTTGAAAATGTTTTATGATCGATATGATATCAATCAAAAACGGTAATGATCCATACGCAGGTTCACCTACGAATACCTTGTTACGACTTTTACTTCCTCTAAATGATCCAGTTTGAGCATCTTTTCGATATAAACCGAACGACCCGAAAGCCGCTCGGAAAACCAAGCCGAAGATCTCACTAAAACATTCAATCGGTAGTAGCGACGGGCGGTGTGTACAAAGGACAGGGACATAATCAGCACATTCTGATGAAATAGTGCTTACTAGGAATTCCTCGTTGACGGAGAATAATTGCAAGCTCCGATCCCAGTCACGAAGAGAATTTCATGGTTACCCACTTCTGTCGAAGTAGGAAGAAACATTCTGAACTCTCCAGTGTAGCGCGCGTGCAGCCTCGGACATCTAAGGGCATCACAGACCTGTTATTGCTCCATTTCGTGTGGCTTAAAAAGTGCCACTTATCCTGCTAAGAAGTCTTGAAAAGTCCCTGCGAACTTTAGACTATTTAGTAAGCCGGAGTCTCGTTCGTTATCGAAATTAATCAGACAAATCGCTCCACGAACTACGAACGACCATGCACCACCACCCACCTAATCAAGAAAGAGCTCTCAATCTGTCAATCCTAAAAGTGTCCTGGCCGAGTAAGGTTTCCCGTGTTGAGTCAAATTAGGCCACAGGCTCCACTTCTTGTGTGTCCTTCCGTCAATTCTTTTAAGTTTCAGCTTTGCAACCATACTTCCCCCGGAACCTAAAAACTTAGATTTCTCGAGATCCGCCAGATGAGTCATATGAGTAACCGCATCTAAAAGACAGTTGGCAACGTTTATGGTTTGAACTAGGACGGTATCTAATCGTCTTCGAACCTCAAACTTTCGTTCTTGATTAATGAAAACATTCTTGGCGAACGCCTTCGCTGCTGTTCGTCCTGTGGCGATCCAAGAATTTCACCTCTCACACCACAGTACGTACGCCCCCCTCTGATCCTATTAATCATTATCTCAATTTCTAAAACCAACGAAATAAAATCGAGATCTTATTTCATTATTCCATGCAATATATATAGGCGTGAGCCTGCTTTTAGCACTCTAATTTTCTCAAAGTAAACGTTCTGGCAACTGACGACAACCGATAAAGATCATCGCCAGCCGTCCAGCAAGTGAGGATCTGTTAACCAATATGGCCGAAAAGACCAACTAGCAACAAATACCCGAAATTCAACTACGAGCTTTTTAAACACAGCAACTTTAGTTTTCCTTATTGGAGCTGGAATTACCGCGGCTGCTGGCACCAGACTTGCCCTCCAATTGTTAATCAATAACCTTTTTAGAGTTTTTCCATTCCGATTGTCAGCCTAAAAAAGACTAACATCGTTATTTCTCTTCACTACCTCCTCGTTTTGAGAGTGGGTAATTTGCGCGCCTGCTGCCTTCCTTGGAAGTGGTCGCCGTTTCTCAGGCGGCCTCTCCAGAACCAAACCCTGATTCTCTGTACTCGTTACAACCACGGTAGACATATAATGTACCGTCTAAAGTTGATAAGTCAGACACTTGAAAGATATGTCGTCGACACAAAGGTCATACGATCAACACAAAGTTATTTAGAGTCACCAACAAACAGTTCCGATGAAAGAACTAGAAGGTTTTGATCTAATAAAAGCATTCCGATATTGCTACCGGAATTTTCGCATGTATTAGCCCAGGCTTTTCCTCGGTTATTCCATTTAGGAGTTATGATCAAAGAAAGTTATAGCTGATGTAATGAGCCGTACGCAGTTTCACCTTAAACCAGTTCATACTTAGACATGCATGGCTTAATCTTCAAGATAAAGGAAAGCCACCGACAAGATCAATCGGAAAGCTTCGTTATCTATGTCGAGAATGTATAGATATTGAAAAACAATAATCATATACATCTCTTAGTTTCACAACAGAGTCAAATGAAATCACTTCATTATGACCAGTGTTGATAGCATTACCATTAACATACATACGAAATGTATATATGTAATGATAAAGTGTGTTTGCGTTGTTTCATCGAGACGAAACAAAACCAACCCACATCATGGAATAAATACATTCCTGTTCTTTAAACAACTCGTTTACAAGCATTCAAGCCCAAACAAGCATCAACTGATCAACCACGAAGAGTCAATCAACAAGATGTGTATCGAAGTTATTCGTGCATATGTTGAAACATTTTCAACCGCATTCACTTCATTGCCATTTGTGATGTTTTATTACATGCGATATGAAAATTCGTTTGTCATGCAAACAAACATATATGTTGATCATGAAAATCGACGAAGCAGCTTCGAACAACTTTCATTCTAACACATACATATAACATGTTCACACTGCTATACACTGCATCAATACAACAGTGCTAGCCGAACTATCGCTTCATCACAACATCAACATCGATCGACATGATCATTGCACAGTCAGTCAAACCAATGCAAAAATTCTTATTCCGGGTTCGATAACTACGAGTTTGCAATCCAATGTAAAAAATGCATGTGCACTACTTTTGCTGGTTAAATTTTGACGAACCAGCAAAAGTAGTGCACGTATGAAAAAAATGCATGTGCACTACTTTTGCTGGTTAAATTTTGACGAACCAGCAAAAGTAGTGCACGTACGTTAAAAAATTGCATGTGCACTACTTTTGCTGGTTAAAATCGAACGAACCAGCAAAAGTAGTGCACACATGTAAAAAATGCATATGCACTACTTTTGCTGGTTAAAATCGAACGAACCAGCAAAAAGTAGTGCACGTATGAAAAAAAATGCATATACACTACTTTTGCTGGTTAAAATCGAACGAACCAGCAAAAGTAGTGCACGTACGTTAAAAAATGCATATGCACTACTTTTGCTAGTTAAATTTTGACGAACCAGCAAAAGTAGTGCACGTACGTTAAAAATTGCATGTGCACTACTTTTGCTGGTTAAAATCGAACGAACCAGCAAAAGTAGTGCACACATGTAAAAAATGCATATGGCACTACTTTTGCTGGTTAAAATCGAACGAACCAGCAAAAGTAGTGCACGTATGAAAAAAAATGCATATGCACTACTTTTGCTGGTTAAAATCGAACGAACCAGCAAAAGTAGTGCACACATGTAAAAAAATGCATGTGCACTACTTTTGCTGGTTAAAATCGAACGAACCAGCAAAAAGTAGTGCACGTACGTTAAAAATTGCATGTGGCACTACTTTTGCTGGTTAAAATCGAACGAACCAGCAAAAGTAGTGCACACATGTAAAAAATGCATATGCACTACTTTTGCTGGTTAAAATCGAACGAACCAGCAAAAGTAGTGCACGTACGTTAAAAAAATGCATATGCACTACTTTTGCTGGTTAAATTTTGACGAACCAGCAAAAGTAGTGCACGTACGTTAAAAATTGCATGTGCACCTACTTTTGCTGGTTAAAATCGAAACGAACCAGCACAAAGTAGTGCACACATGTAAAAAATGCATATGCACTACTTTTGCTGGTTAAAATCGAACGAACCCAGCAAAAGTAGTGCACGTACGTTAAAAAATGCATATGCACTACTTTTGGCTGGTTAAAATCGAACGAACCAGCAAAAGTAGTGCACGTACGTTAAAACAATGCATATGCACTACTTTTGCTGGGTTAAAATCGAACGAACCAGCAAAAAGTAGTGCACACATGTAAAAAATGCATATGCACTACTTTTGCTGGTTAAAATCGAACGAACCAGCAAAAGTAGTGCACGTACGTTAAAAAATGCATATGCACTACTTTTGCTGGTTAAATTTTGACGAACCAGCAAAAGTAGTGCACGTACGTTAAAAATTGCATGTGCACTACTTTGCTGGGTTAAAATCGAACGAACCAGCAAAAGTAGTGCACGTACGATTAAAAAATGCATATGCACTACTTTTGCTGGTTAAATTTCGATGAACCAGCAAAAGTAGTGCACGTGTGCGTTTGATGAAGTTTGTCGATATCTGCTTCTAGTCGAGTTGTTAGTCAATGAGTTTTGTCATGTGTATCATCAGTTCACGTCGAGATTCGTATCAGATAGTCGAGAAAATAATTTCGTGTAACTGTATGTTCGATGTTCCTACACATATTCAATAATCTTATGGTGGTAGCCAAATGCCTCGCTATCTAATTAGTGGATAATGTACATGTCTGTGGACATTTCTCATTTGGTAGCCAAATGCCTCTCGTTATCGTCGATAGTCGCTATGGATGATCACGAATGTTGTTACTTGTGACTTGACTGTTATGCCGATGCATGAATGTCGATAATTATGGTCGTCTCA